TCGTGCGATGTTCCCATTCCTTCGAGCGCCATACTACCTAAGATCAAAGCATTCAGTCCTTTGTAAAATTCGCCCCTTCTCAGCATGGCCAGTGGCAAATCTGGGATAACTTTGCCGTCGGGCGCAGGACCGAAACCATGGAGCGGGCCTATCTGGCCGCCGCCACTCTGTGAAGGCATCTGGTTAATTAGTTGATCGTTGAGTCCTATCATGGTTTCTTCAGGAACTGATCGTAAGCACTGCAGAGTTGTGCAATTTGCAGTCTTGAGCACTAGGTTGAACAACTCCTTTTGTCGCTCGGTAACATTTCGCTTCGGGGGCGCAGCAGGTGATGACAAGTACGCCTTGGACTATGTCAGTCAATCGCATGCCTATTAGGGACGACTTATCAAACCTGTTGGAATGGGAGTTTGCGACGACCCGCATATGCGACCATCAGATAGTATATCATACCGGCCCCTGCGCTCTGCCCAATAGTTGTGATGCGATTGCCGTCACCTCCGAAATCTTTGATATATTTGGAGGTCCATTCTGCTGCGGCAAGACAGTCGAGCATGCCAACATTGCCGTCCATATCCTGATCTTCAGCATACGTCCAGCCGGGCATCCCCAGTCTTTGGCGACAGTTTCTATCAGTATTTTATGGTCATACTTGGAGAGCACAGGAGAAGGAAGAGCCGCACCTATAATTGTTTGAAACGAATATGAACTTGTCAGCGTGGTCCCGAAACATTCTATCAAACAGGCCCATGGGTGAGAACATAATATCCTTGCTTCCAAAAGCGTATGCGCTGCCAAAAAAGTTGTGCAGCACAGGAACATCGTCACCTGGATTCACCCCTTCGGGCACATAGACATCCAGAAACAGACAGTCTTCTCGGCCCCATGTCGTTCCGTTGATTTCGGGATACGGAATATAACCCGGCGCAGAGGCGATGCAAGCTGTGCTCGCCCAAGGCACTTTACCATCCTGGACACCGTGTACTTTGGTGAGTTTGGTGTCTGGTGCCCGAAAGCGTAGGTTACCCGTTGGCGCGTTGGCGAAGCGAATATTCTTGTAGATTTTGACTTTATGACCAGAAATTGTTGTGTTATGGTATGTAGGAATATGCTGAGCGTATCCGAGATCAACAAGGTCGTTCTTCAGAACGTCATTTGTAGGTTTGGCAAACGTGCGTGCCAGGAGCGCAAGTACTAGCAGAGGAGAAAGGTTCAACACGGCCATGGTGTATATCTGATATCAAATGATGGATGGAGTTGTCGCCCTACTCTCCGCCTTCTACGACCTCATCAACAACTTGCTGTCTTTTTAAGTCGTGAGTTGGGACAATTGCTTCTTGTCCTAATCAGGCAAACGAGCAGTGGATCATCATAAGGCGGATTCGAATTATCCAGGCTATACTCACGACCCTCGTCAACCATGCTGGCCTCAATTAACCGTCCACACCATCGAGGCAGTGCTAACCGTATAAGATGATTCGCAGCCTGCCGCAACCCGAGTCAAGCGAGACGACCGAGGCTGTTCACTCTTGTGGCCACGAGTTGCATTCCTCGTCTGCTTAGAGGAATCTCTACATTTTTTGACACACGAGCATTGCGTCTACTAGTTGCATAGTCTTACAACCCACCCGCCCCTCGAGCATTGGCATATCTTTCAGCAATTGACCGATTGAAGGAGTGGATTCATTGACATTGTCTTTTCTCAAATCTGACGGCGCTATTGCCCAAAAGGGAAAACGAGGTCAGCGCCACACAAAGTAATTACGCCGACTGCATTACACATCCCTCGACTCAGCCTCGTTGACACTCGGCGACGCAACATTCATATCTAGAACTGTCACCGCATATCTGAATGGGATGGTCTCGTTTGCCTGTTAGGGCCATTTGGTCGTCCTGCAATGCAATAGTATCCTTGAACGAACCAAGGGCACACTAAGCAGCCAGGCGTGAATACTCGACACACCACAAATACCAAGATGCCATCCAGGGTGTCTGGTGAGCCGGATTTTCGAGTCATTTCCTTCCGACCCCAGCGCGGAGAAGCATTCGGATCCGCCAGGAAATATCAGCGTCGAAAGACGCATCAGAAGTCAAAGACGGGATGTTTGGGTTGTAAATTGAAGCGAGTCAAGGTTGAACGCACCCTTGCGTACACTAGTCCACACCATATTTGATATCTCCCCCAAGACTAACGATGCTGTCAAAAGTGTGACGAAGCTCTCCCATCATGTTCCCGGTGCCGAAGAAACAGTGCTTGGTGCAGCTACACCACCCAAGAGTTTGGGTCCGGCAGGTTGTGCAGCCAGGATGAGGCAAGCTCAATTAGTTCAGGTCATGAACTAAACCGCCTTGGTTGTCTCGAATCATCACCCGCAATTCACGGCTTTGATCCAGAAATGGAGCAAACAGGCGACGGGACGCCGCGCAACGTCCTCATGAACCACTTCCATTACGTATTCCTGGAGCTGCAAATCATCGGCGCGAGAGAGCTCTCCCCCATCCTGGCTCTTGGTTTATGCCGCCCATTCCTGATGGACTCCATCTTTGCTGTCTCGGCGTCCCATCTCCGCTTCAAATCTGTATCCAATGCGTCGCATCGCGTGGCCGAACACTTTCAACAAGCACTAGCCATCAAGAATTTCCAGGGCGCACTGGCCTCACCCCTAGACCAACAGACTGCTGATGCGCTGCTCCTAACGGCCATGTTTCTCAACCTGCTGTCATTTTCGGCGGTAGAGGACGAGGATATCGGGAATTCGTGGGTATACAGCAGTCATCCTGACAGGCTGGGGTGGTTGTCGCTCTCACTGGGTATGAAGCCTCTCATCTACGCGACAGAGATATTTCGAGAGAATACGATTTTGAACTGGATGTTTGACTCTTCCGATGATGAAGCAAAGTCTTTTCATGGTTCATGGGAGTTGATGCACTTGCATGACGTTCCTCCTCATTGGTTGGACCTGGTTGGCTTGACGCGGGATTCCCAGCCTGACGCCAAGTTCTTTCACCCTATTAGGATCCTGAGTGAGACTAATAAGTTGGAGCCAAGCCCTAAGAATTTCTTTCTCTATGTGAATATGATTGGGTCTTTGGACGTTGATTTCCGCACCGACCTGGAGAGACGGCATGAGATGGCCATGTGGCTCATGGGATATTGGTTGGGGCTGCTACTTCGGTATGACTTTTGGTGGCTTCGGAAGAGGGTGAGAAGAGACTTTCGTGCCGTCTGTTGGAAACTGATGGACAATGGCGTGAAGGACAGGCCAGGCGCTGAGGGTGCGATGTGGAGGAAGCTGATGGATGACTTGGAGAAGGCCCCTTACTGGAAGAGTCTTCCACACGGTGGTCGAGTCTGCGAAGAAGTATAGATGGGGCAGGACGTGGTGGAGGTAGCATGACAATCTGAAGCGTGTGCGACCCAGGTGCAGTGTAGGATCATCATCGGATGCGACCATGGTATCAAGGTGCCACCAACATGCTACATCTCACATATTTGTATGGTGAGATATGTATGTATATCATCTCCAGCTGGCACAGCCTAGACAAGGCAGACCAAGACTAAAGTGTATCAATAGGTTTCAAGCTCGCGTCATCTGCTCGGTATGTACTCCGTACGGAGTAAGTAATGGGGGGAAGAAGACGGACAACGGGGCAGCCTTGGTTCGTCCCGATGATACCTGGCGCATGGATCAAGTACGAGTCGCACAGAGAATATGATGTGTTGCAAAATCTATCCATGAGCAGAGCCGCTGTGGCGCTGAACCTTGGAAGTCATATGCATGAGGCCAGCAACCCCCGTTGGTGGCGATGTTGGGGGCCACGGAAACGACAACAAGAGGCCTGATTCTGGCTGGGTCTGTTCTTTTTACCGTCTTCTTGTATTCGCTGCATTCACGATGCGTCGGATATACCTTCCCAAAGAGCGTCAGGCTCAGAGACCAGCGCGCAACTCTACCGCAGCTGCTCGAGATGGCTACACTCGGATGGGTGCTTGGAACGACTTGCAACACGGTCAGCCGAGTTGGGCACCGGCAGACGCGAGTTTACGTACAGGCCAATATCAACATGGTCCTGTGGCAGCGCAGGGCAGGCCTGTTGCCGCACCCAACGAAGGTCGTCGATGTTTTTTCTTTTTTTTTTGCAACCGCGCGGTTTCACTTCTTCATCTCCACGCTTTGCTGGTTTCACAGCGCCTTTTCTGCCGCCCTTACGGAGTACACATCGGCCGGAAGGGTTCCTTTAAAACATGCAGCAGGCCAATAGCGGGAATCTCAGTCTGCATATTTTGCAGAAAGGGCTATTGGGAAGGGGCAGAAGGAGGGGGGATGGTATCACGGCAAGTCTGCAAGCGCATCGTTGTCAAATGCTGTGCTTCCGCGAGACGCGCGACCGTGCAAATCGGGTGCGACTCAGCCATCTGCCAATTGGCTGCCTCCGTTGTGGTGTACTTTGCCGTTGTGCTTGTCTCCTGGGGATTTGCGACGAGCCGGGGGTGAGGACGGGAGGATTTGCTTGGGAATGCTCTCCAGATGTCCCGTTCGGATGCTTGCTCTTCGTCTCGCCCTGCCGGTGAATCACCAGCGCGCGTTGCTCGAGTGACAATTAAATGCGAACTGAATATTATTTTCTTCGCTACTCGGCCATTGAAACTTGTTATTCAGGGCATCCAACGCTGCAGTCATGTGCGTGAGAATGAGTCGGACTGATTCCTCGACGTTTCGCACAGCTGATGCCTTATAAAGTCAGCAACAGCCGACGCCTGGCTGTATTTGGTCCTCTCTTTTTGCTCTCTTTCTTTCTGTGTCACTCTCTACCGCGTCTGGGAGACTGAAAGCCTCGATATATATATGAATATACATATTTCCCTCTCCTCGAGCTGGCTCGCGCGCGTCTACTAGCTTGGGAAAACAACGCAGGCACCAAGTCCATCCAGCCAAGTTGGAGACAATTCTTCTCCCCCCCTTCTCACAGCGCCTGAAGGGACATCCCGTAACAGCACCATGTCTGGGCTCACCGTCTACGAAGTCCGCTTCGGAGTCGGCAACTGTCTGCACTACGGCGTCTTCGTGCAAACGGGCAGCGACGGCGCCGGCATGCTCATGGACGTCCGGGGCTCCGTCAACGCCGGGGGCAAGCTCGTCTTCAATTCCCGCAGCGAGATGCTCGCGCGCTTCGACATGAAGACCCCCATGGGCGCCATCGACGAGCACGACGTCTACACGCTGGAGAATGTCTGCCGCGGCGTCGATCCGCCCGACACGCAGTACGGCACCACCTCCTTGTCCGGAGGGTCCAGCCCTATTTGCCGCTGCAGCGAGTGGAACGACAGGGTCTGGGGCGCCATTTATTCGTCTGGCATCATCAAGGGACAGTGCTTGGGTCTCGAGGGGTGATACATGCATGCGGGCTGCAAACGTGGGGGCCGGTGTTGTTGGTAATAGGACATAATTTGCAGAGGGATTGGTTGGTTTTTCGTGTGATGGTGTTCTGCTGGAAGTAGTGGAAAAAAGGACGAGGCATGAGTTTCATACTAAATGCTGATGAATTTCTGGAGGGTTTTTTCCCCTTTTGTTCCCCCTCTTCTCATGGTCTTGTATATCCCGTTGTGTGGCGATGAAAAACGTCGGTATGCTGAATTCTACCCTAGGATGCGAAAATGGTGTGCCTCCGTGTTCAGCACGTCCTCGTCTAAACTGATGACGTCGGGCGTCGGGCGTCGAGAAGACGAGATAGAAGTACTTTAATGTCTTGGCCAGCCAGAAGCTCTGAAGGGGGGTTGTGGGATTCGTTATTAGCTGCGCCGTGACGGTCTGCAAGCCCAGTCAGTACAAGACTCGCCTCCATAGAGTCCATCTTGGGCAAGGGATACCGCGCAACGATGACATCCAACACGGCTGCATTTGCATAGTCGGTCCTCGTGCCATTGTTGATGGCGGTGAACATGTCCCATGCCGTGTCTTTGAAGAAGGCCTTGGCGCCCGTGATTCTGTACAGGTAGAAGACGCTCTCGATGGCCTCGGGTCGCCGGATATATCGCATGTCCTTGGCGGCGGTGAATCCCTCTGGGTGATATGGCTTCCACTCGGGGCGCTTCCTCCTCTCGTGGTCTCAGAGGGCCTTCCTGCCAGGGGCACTGGAACGATGCTCCCAGGGCACCGTGTCCAGAAAGGCCCTGGCCATGGCCTGGTACTTGTCCTCGCCTCCTCGGAGCAGCTCATGCATCTTGGGGAGGTGCTCGAACAGAGAGTCCTCGCCGGCGTCAGGAATGAAGCCATCACCGCCGACCACGTCCTCGTCTCTCATCGAAATCCCCATGGGCCACGCGCCGGGGAGGTCTCCAACGTGTTGGCCTTTGGGCTCGTCAACACACCAAAGTCGATCCGGCAGACGGCCTCGACGGCCTCGTCGAATTCATCTCGCAGGCCCATGATCCACAGCGTGTCCAACGAGCCGGCCAAGGCGGCCGCCCATCCGGAGGACTGATCCCTCGGTCCGCCGCTCACCGGCAGCAGCGCATCCTTCATCCACGCAAGTTCCCGGTAGCCCTTCCAGTTTTCCCAAAACAGCCCACGCACCTCTATCAGCCCGGCTACGGCGCTCTCCAAGTCTTCGGGCGCAGACTGATGCTGTATCGGTACACTGTGCCGGCGAGCGCACAGGTCTCGGGGGAGACACTTGGCTGGTCGATTGGCGGCCGAAGTCGACCCTGCTCCAGTCAAAGCTGCTTGTGACATGCTGGACGCGTCTCTTCGGGGCGTCGTCGTTCATCCAGTGCTTCAATATGCCCATGTGCGTCGGCGGCTCGGGATACACCACGTAGCGCAGCTACCACTAAGCGAACACGATGAGGACCGCGACGGTGATGTCTCTGCGCAGGGCGGCAGGGACAAACATGGCTGCCGGGGGAATTTCATGGCGAGTCGGGTGAGAACAAAACAAAGGCTGCAAAAGAGATCACGGAGGGTGAAGATTGTTCCGCATCTCGTTGATGGAAATGGCAATGATAATAGCCTAACAGTTGCTTCAATGGCTGATGACAAAAGGCCAAGAGGAGCGAAAAGGGGGAGGGCCTTGTTCCATTCCTATCACAGAAGGCAGGTCAGACATGCCACCACTTGAGGTCCGGAGCAGTAAAGACTTGACAGGACTATACTCACTCGGCTATGTTCTCATGGGGCCATGGCTATGAGCTGGAGAACAAAAGCCCAGATTCGTTGGGCACGTCTCTAATGCGCCGTGGACGTTGGTTGAGTCTGCTTGTTCCATCGCAATGAAAAGAATATAGAGAAAAAAAATGAAGTAAAGAAGGAAGTAAAGAAGGAAGGAGGGAAGAAAGGAAAGAGCGGGTGGAAACGCCATTCATTTACCGGGAGTTGTGGAGATGCAACCAGTTGACTCTTCACTGGTTCGCTTAACGGTTCCCTCAGACTCGACGAGAACAACAAAAGCCGGCGCCACTCTCCGTTCAAAGCACAAGTCAAAACACTGAGCTGCATGCAGTTGATGTGCATGCCGCTTCCTTTGTTGGCAGAAATTATGTGCAACGCTGGGTTTGCCTTGGCATTATTCGCAACTAAACAGTGGTTCCTGAAATGAACACGTCAGGAACTCACTTGAACCAACTACTTCACGGCCAGTGCTCAGCAAAGCCAGCAGAGCCAACATGCATTGTTTCAAAGAAAAGAGAATCGGGTGACTTTTTTTAAAACGCCGTCATATGCATGCCCCAGCAAGACTTGCGCCTCGTGCAATCACACCACGCGTACTTACCGCATAACTACAGAATCCATGAAGTTCACACAAAGTTCACGGCATCTCCTCTACCAGGTGACCCTTTTCCCAACACATCGAGAGAGGACATGGGGTTGTTTCTCGCAGGGTATTACCATTTCGGTCCTCAAGCAAAGTATGCTCTCCTCGTCCGAGGCGTGTTCAGCCAGCGACCCTCTTCACTCTCCTCTTCCTGCAGCTGCCGGTGAATTCAGCGCCGCCGGCCTGCTTCGCGAGTCTTTGAAGTGAATCTGAACAGATGGCTGGCATCATGTTTCAATCTCGAGCGTCGAGGTATATAAGTCTCGTCATGTCTGCCCATGAGAGGAGTTGGGTGGCAAGGGCTCACACCGCGCTTCACACGACGAAACTGCACCCGACGGCATTTGTCCCCCCTCGCCAGATTTACCATATCCATTTGGTATCATCGATACGCAAAACACCAACATCATGTACAACGGCATCAATCCTACGAAGTCGACTGACAAAAACCGCACGTCGCTTGGCGAAGGCGCCGGCTTGATTCTCATCGGGCTGAACCAAAGACCAGCAGGACATCCTCGATTCCCCCAATCGCCCGGTCCCCCTCCGTCCGGGCCACTCCCTGATCGTCCAACCCCACGGTCAAAGACGGCTCCAGAGCATGCTCAAGGTCGGACCTTGCAAGCACAAACGATTCAGGAGGGTAGTCAGGGTTTGGTCAGGAAGGTTTTGGACACCACGTTCGACCAAGTGGGGAAAGACTTAATCGTCCGGAGGAGCCTCTATAAGTCTGAAGGAAAAAGGGGAATTGACAAAAATACGGGAAGGCCCTACGAAACGGCGGTAAAGGCTTTGTCGGAGGCCCTGGAGCGCTGCCACCTGTCTGAGGAGGAGGAGAACGCGGTTTTTGAGCATCTTACGTGGCCATTCTTTTGCCAGGAGTGCAAGGAATACAAACCCGCCTGTGAATTCGTTTCTTGTTCTAGACGATTCTGGGCCATTGAACCTAAAGGGTGTGTTTTCCTACACGGTGAAAAATGCATGCCTTGCGAAGAAAAAGAGCATTCTCCGCTATGAAATTAGCACCAGAGCTCGTACTCCGTTCCAGGAGGCAGCCGTGGTAGGGCATGAGGCTCTGCCCTCGAAACGCCTGCCAACTTGCCGTCTTGCTTGGTAGCCCTGTCAGCAGTTCACTTTGCTCAAGGGTCTTTTTTTTTTTACTGCCTTGTCAACTCTTTCGCAAGGCACCTCTGCATTCGACTCGGGTTTTTGGGGGCCGCCAAGGGGCCACGATGTGCCGGGACCAAACGGGCGGACAAATTGCCGGGACGAGGCTGCATTGCCAGGGCCTTCTGCCGGGTATCCGAAGAAGGAAGGAGAGAAATAGGACGCTCGGTGGATTTTGTCGCAGGATCTGTGTGTGGGAAGGAATAGTTGATGGGAGATGAATAGAGAATCTTGAAATTGATGCTTTGCCCCGAAACCTGGTGATGGATCGCCCTGTGTAGTAGAGGGCCTTCTCGCCCGACAACTTGACGTGATGTCTGTAAACACGCTGCCAACACGAGCCGTCAGCCAGACTGGATCAGCAGTGTAACCAACACTTTTTACTATTCGCAGTGATGGTCGGGCAGAATGGGGGCTGAGCTTCTGCACATGTCGACTGTCATGATACTTGGCTTATGGCGCGCTGCTCCGGACTCCGTTCAGAAAGATGTGATCTATTATGCGGGCGTATAACTGGGCGTTGAGCTGTGGTGTTGTATCACACCGTCGACGGGTTGGTAGGCAACTCCGGATGTGACGCGAGATGTGAGCAATCCAGCCACTTGTACATAGGCTGAGTTTCTTGTGAAATAGCTGCGCAAATTGTGAGCCAATTGGCACATCAGCTAGCCATGCAAGGCTTAGTTCCGAGTTCTCTCTAACGGTATGACTACTCGTTCTCACGTCTGGAGATACCTACCGCGGCTAAGCTATCCATACTTCAACTCGACCACGTCCCGCGACACGTACTGTTTGCCAGACACGATAGCGCGGCGTGTTGGTTGGCAGCCGTCGTGACAATGACAGTCACCGACGAGATATTCTCCAGCCCCCCATGTCCAGACAGCACGGGAACGGTTTCCGAAGCCTTGTCGTTGGGACAAGCGACGACGTTGGAGTCGAGTCTGTGCAAACATAGCGCGGGTGACGGGTGAGCCACCCGAAACTTTCAAGGCTGATCAGCGCCTAGTTTGTTCGGATTCCCGTGAAAAACCCAGTCATGGGGGGCGCCGTCAGGTTCCAACGAGGTTTAGGGCGGTGGCTTCACATCCGGTTGACTCACAACGGGGCATTTTGACTCATTTGAATTGACGCTTCGCTGGCCTACCGCAAGGCAGCGTCCAATTCCAGCCGGCTTCTGGACTTGCATCAATACTCTGTACATGCGTGAACCCTTGTGGCTGTGGGTCGCCCCGGATCATGGAGGGTGTTGGATGACGAGTAGGGCCGCGAACGAGAACGCACGCTGGCTGTTGACTAGCGACATATTCGTTATGCTGATGACGATGACTGCGTGGCTAGATTTTCTCCCTTCAATTGGATTGGAAGCCGTTTTGGTTCTTGTTAAAAATGCAAAGAGCCTATGAGGTTAGCGGCTCAGTCAGATGGGCGGAGTTTGGCCGGTCGGGACTCGCGCTGCTTTCGTATTCGAGGCTGCTGCTGATGAAAGACCATATAATAAGCGCTGCTGTATACCAACTGACCAAGATTTATTTTCACAAGATTCTCTTCTCACAATTTTGACTTTTCAACTCGATTGGTTCCAGAACTCTCTTATCTTCCGAGACCTTCGCCTGTACAGCCGTCGTCTCGCAGAGCCTGGTTACCGACGCCGGTGAATACACACACGTTGCAGCGGACATTGCAACGCGAGACCAAAGACCCAGTGAGGCGGCTTGCATGCTCCCGGTCCAAGCGGGCAGCCATGAACAACCCGTTAGGCACGCCGGCACACGCCCTGCTGCCCGTCAACGTCAAGTCGAAGCAGCGCGCCGTTGGCAAGGCTCTGGACGAAACCACCCGTAAGAACAGCAACAACAGCACCGATACACAGCAGCCCAGTACAACGATAGCGGCGCCAACCGTCGCGCAGAATCATAAGAAGCCCTACAGCTCCTTGCCCTCGTTTCTCTCGTCCGCCCCCCCCTCGCACAACCGCCGGCAGAGACCGGGACAAGAGCCTCCGCCCAAACATGCACTTACACCTCGACCCTGCGTCTGCCAGCGTGACGGGAGAGTCGTCCAGCCCGTCCAGCAGACGCCACTCGCTGGCCGTCTCGACAGCCGGTCACTCATCACGGTCGTCGACAGACAGCGCCCCCGGCCCGCTCGCCTCGTGGCGACGAGCATCAACGTCCGTCCCGGCCGGCGCCGAGTCGGCCCCGCTGACGGCCGCCGACGCCGTCGTCGGGCTCATCGCCGCGTCGTGCCAGGCGCAGCGCGACCTGGAGGCGCTCAACACGTCGTCGGCGCTGCTGAAAAGGCCCCTCGCCGAGGTCAAGTCGTTCAAGACAACGGCGCAGCTGCTGCACAAGTTCCTGCGGAGAGTCGAGGCCGGGACCCTGGCCCACCGCGACCGCCCCGGCCTGATGGAGCTGGACGTGCTCGTCGCCGTGCTGACCGCCTCGGTCCTGACCGTGTCCGAGCTGGAAGCCCGGCTGGAGGGCCTGGTCATGCAGGCCGGCGAGCTGGGCGTCAGCGTCGACGACATGGTGCAGCGGCACTCGCGGAGTCTGGCCAAGGACGCCAACAGGATCGCCATGCTGGAGTTTATCATGACCCAGCTCCTGAACGTGCTACACGTGTAAGTCCACAATAGCCTAACCCTTTTCCTCCACGTCAAGGCAGCGCGGTGCTAATTCCCCCCGGGTCATCAGGAGCAGTAGTCAGGACGCCACTCGCCACCGGGCCCAGGCCGGCCTCGCCGTCATGGACATGCTCCAGGCGGACGCCGCGCTGGCCGGCCGCATGCAGCAGCTCCAAGACACCGCCGGCGGGCTCGGGCTCGTCTCCCCGGAGCGCCGTGCCGAGGTCGCCTCCCGGCCTCCGCCGAGCTACAGCGTCCCTTCGCCGGGGGGCGGCGACGAGCCGCCCAACTACGACCAGGCCCTCGATGACGACTCGGTCGCTATCCAGCCCCGGGACTGGTCTGTCTACTCGGGCCTGAACCTCATGGACATACCTGCCCTGTCTAGCATCAGTCTTCCTCTGATTCTGGGCGAAATTCAAGACGCCTACTACTATACAGAGGAGTACGCGCACTCTGTTAGAGACGGGCTTATCGCGCTGGAGGAAGCTCGCAACACCCAGAAATCAAAGGCCCTGGCCCGGGTTCTGGGCATAGAGGAAGCCGGCAGTAAGGACAAGGACAGCGCTGCTTCAGATCATGGCGGCCTGGCGCATAGACTTGCGCTCAAGATGGCAAGGGGGAAATTGCTAAGCCGATCACACTAGAAGAATGGAGCGTTTTCTTCTTGTCTTTGTTTGTTTTCCAACATTAGAACATGTCACGAGATACCACGTTGTTTTTCTTAGCATGGCATTTGGGATATAGAGGCTCACTATTACTATGTATTAGCGTTTCATTTCAGTATTTGATGAGAACACACGGCGGGTGCCTTCTGGTATACCTCTTTTTTTTTTCTTGTTTCTTTCCCTTGTCGTTTGAGTCCCATTTGCCAGGGTCCATCTTCAAATATAAAGTTTAGTTCATTAGTACATTGTGGGACAAGATTGAACATGGGGCAATTAATTATGATTATAGCCCATTGTGCAGCCTTGTCACTATTTCATTGTGTGACCCGCCGCAAATTCATTCAATCTTCAGCTCCTTCCGCTGATAATGCAATAAGCGAAATGTCCCGGTGTCAATGCCAAATGACGACCATGCTTATCCGCAGCCAAATATGTACAGCACCACATTAGATCATTATATACCATCCATGCAACAAAATCCCAAGCACCAACTAGATTCAAGGAAAGCCTTCTCGGCCCCTCATCTTCAAAGAATCGACCAATTCCATCGCTTCGTAATTTGTTTGCGCGAGTAAAGACTCAGCCTTAGACCGGCACCACAGTATTCAGTGCTGTTACCAGGACACAAGAAGCTGCACTCCTTGTCTGTAACATTCTTTCCAGGGCTACCGTTACCGTCACCGCCTAGATTCAGCTTATCGCCACACCAACACTCTTGGCCGTATTCTACACCCGCATATTGGTACTTATTGCACTTGCCAAGACACATCCCGATCGTCATATTATCAGTGTTGAGAACTTGGCTCTTGAGAAGCCGGCCGCCAGATGGTTCTGAAACGCACGCGTAGTAAGTAAAGTTTGCATTGCCCTCAGAGATTACCGGGCCAGTAGGAGTGGGCGTAGCCGAAGTCGTGGATGTTTCGGTGGACGATGACACAATTGATGTACTATCGAGGCTTGTAGTTGACGGCGACGACACAGCTGTGTCTGCACTAGTAAAGCTGCCAAGACCGGAGGTGGCTGCAGCTAGTTTCGTTGTGGTTATTCTTGTTGTAGGGACTGATGTGACGGGAGTTTGGGTTTTGGTGCCAGAACCCGGGCTGAGCGGGTTAGATGCAGAAGTAGAAGTAGGCAAAAGGCTAGAAGACGCGCCATATTTGTATAGCTCGAGTCTTACACCCGCACCACAGTACTCCGTTTTATCGCCAGGGCAGAGGAAATTACAGTCATCCTGATTGTCAGCCTTGACACTGCCAGCTTGAAGCTTGTCGCCACAGTAGCACTCCCGACCATATTCCACCCCAAAGTAAGCCAGGCCATCACAGAACTTGGCGCAGGATTCAAGTGTCATGTTGTCGTCTGCATAAGCACGACTGGTGAGCGCACGACCGTGTGTTGCTTCCGTCCAGCACCCCTGGAAATTCCAATTGCCGACCTTGGCCTTCTTGACGGGGCCTGTTGGAGTGGGTGTGGACGAAGTGCTGGTGACTGTCGAAATTTCTGCAATGCTTGTTGTGGTTGAAGCTGAAGAGGTGGCAACTGTGCTGCTTCCGGCAAGAGTAGTCGTGCTTGAAGCTGAAGCTGGTACAGAAGCCGTGGTCTTGACGGTAACTGAAGGCAGCGCGGATGTTGCACTGGAGGTCTTTCCGGCGTCAAGTTTGTATACATTAAGCCGAGACGGGCCACCACAGTACTCTGTCGAGTTATCTATTGGATATCAGCCAACAATCTACAAATATCCCGTCGTTGATCTTACCATTGCAAGTCATGCTGCAGTCCTTGTCAGGAGCAGGAACAGCGCCAGCGGTAAATTCATTGCCGCACCAACACTGTCGCAGCGCGTTAGTCAATATACTGGCTGCCTCGGTAAAGAATCCTCAGCTCACCTCGCCACCATATTCCACGCCGGCATATATATAATTACCAGCCTTGCAACCGTCAACACAATCCTTGACCGTCTTCTTTTCTGTGCCCACGCCGTTCGTCAGCGCGCGGCCGTCTGTAGCTTCAGTGTAACAGCCAATGCTCGTGTATCCCGAAACACCAGGATTGACAACCGGTCCGGCTGCAGAGGGAGGTTGTGTGGTGTTGCCATCCCACTTGAGTGCATCGCCAAATGTTGACATGTAAGTGCCATCGTTGTTGTTTCCGTTTCCGCCACAAATCTGCTTCAGGGCTCCCATGCAGTAGTAATTACAATTGGCATCGTCCACTTTTTGGAGCGGAATGGTATTGCCTCCCCAGCATTCACGATGATACTGCGTAGCACAAAACGTGTATCCCTTTTCATGGCACGCCTTTATACAGTCCGCACTGGTCATCGTGTCAGAGGCTAGGATCTGATCGGGCAGCTGGCGGCCAGGAGTATTGTCCCTGTAGCATCCAACATATTTGAACTGACCCAATCCATTCGGTAGAAGCGGCGGTGCTTGCTCGGCGACGGCATTGCAGAAGAATTGAATGAATTGCTTTCCAAGCGTGGCATCGTTGGTGTTCATAGTCCACTGGGCTGTGCCATTGTACGGAGCCGTATTCCACTGTGCGTAGGGTACATTGCAAATCAGCGTGGCGTTGGCGCTCTCTCCTGCCCCAAGAGATGTGCCTTCGGCAAGGTCTACCTGGTTCAAGGCTCTGATGAGCCCAGCAACACCAAAGGGGGGCTTTGACACAGTCAATGACAATTGAGCCGCACCCCTTGCTGCGCTGTTAGTGACCCGAAACTTGAGGGACCTAGAATTATTTTCAGTTATATTGCCGAATGAGAAGGGCGTGCCAGGTTTGTATTTGACCCATCCAGTTTCGTCTGGTGTTTGGAACTCGAGCAGCGCCTTTGGTGGAGGGCCTGACGATGCAGCCACCGAGATTGTTCGGTTCCCTCCGTCCGAAACAAACTTTACGTAGCAAGAATAGGTCCCGCTCTGGGATGTATCAAATTGGATGTTGACAGTTGCTGCCGAGTTTGGTGCAATGGTAGGCGGCAGTTTCTGAAACCTGAATTTGCCAACAACCAAATCTCCCTGGCCGTTCCAAGCTCGGAATGGACCATCAGTGCCGGTAGTGGAATACAGAACGGTTTGGACAGTCAGTATCCCATTACCCAAGTTGGAGGCAATGATGCTTTCCGAGATCCCATTGGGATCCTCGCCCGTGACAGCGTTCTTGAAAGTGAGGATCACAGGAGTGAGGTCTAGGAGGGCGCCGGCGCTGTGGCCTGTGCCAGTAAGTCGGGCATGAGTCCCGGTGCTGAATCCAGTGGCCGAGTTGGTGGTATTTACGACAACGTCGTTGGATTGCAGGCCAACTTTCAAAGGAGAAAATTGAGCGTTGACCGTAAAAGTCTGATCAACAGCTAGCTCCAAGGGCAAATCGGGCAACCCAGAAAGGCTGAAATCCTTGTTTTTGGCATCGTTGAGCTCGATTCCCGTCACTGTAACTCCAATGAGAGCCTTGCAGGTAACCGGCTTGGCAATACTGCTGTTCTTCATGTCGACGCCGCCAAAATCCACAGGCGATGTGCAGTTCAGGGGCACCTTGACAGGGGAGCCAAATCCGTAAACGTAGCCTTGGGTCGTTCCGACGTACACAATACCATTGCCAAACACGGGCCGAGTAAACTTGGTGACCCCGGGAATGTTGAATGATTGAATCAGGTTCATGGTTTGGCCCTGAGGCACAGCATCGTAGACTCGAAGGTTGAGGCCCTGCACATCCGTGATCCACAGGAGACCTGTGCCGGGCTGGCCATTGAGCGAAGTGGTTGTGCCGTGGCTGACTCCGAGAATGTAGGCGTTATTGGTGGGGGTTTCGGCCACCTTGGAGAAGGAAGGGCTTCCATTATTGCACGAGAACTTGAAGACGATGGTGGGGTGTTGGATGACATTGATGTAAATATATCCGCCCTCCAGAGGATACACACCAGCACCGGCGTACACCGAGTTTAGATTTTCGTAAACCTGAATAACGTCGTCGAGTCCATCTTTGCCGTTCTTGTAACCACCGAGGTTGTCCAGGTTGAGAAAGTACGTCTTGCCGCTTTTTCCTGTTACAACACCAATTCGCTTGATCGCGCCGCACGAAAACTCGCTGGGCAAGATCTCCAATGGACTCGTGCCTAGATCCTTGTCGGCCCCGTCCAATTCCCTTTTTTCGTGGGGCATCATGAAGTCCACCAGCCGAAGAGTGCCATCCGCATTTATCGTCATGTGCAGTGCAGCCTCTTCCAACGCGGTCGGGGGGTTGAAGCCATTGACGGGCACATCAGCAAGCTGGGAGGCGTACCCGTTTCCCGTGGCAAGAAAGATGGAGCCCTTGTCATCAGAGGCGATGCCGCCGCCAGACATCCAGATGCCGCCGCCCCTGATGGTATTGGGAACGCCTTCGCCTTCGGTTGCCCACTTTTCTACAATTTTTCCCGTCGTCTTGTGCCAGCCAATGATCCAGCCAGTAAAGTTGTACTGGACGCAGTGGGAGGCAAAGCCAGCATAGATGAAATCGCCAGTGTGCAAAAGACCTGGGCGCTGGTGATGGATACCGCCTTGAAACATGCGCTCGGCCGTGTTCCTGGCAATGATGCCCTCGAGATCGACGGGGAAATTGGGGCGCTCGGAAAGATCATTGACGTCGAGAGCATGAATGTAATATCGACCGGCAGGCCTGCCCTGGGCCTTTTCACCACCATTCTGGTCGACATAGGTCTTGGCTGTCAAGTAGAGGGTGTCCGTGGCAGGATCAATAACACCGGTTGCGGTAATGCCAATGGTTGGGTTGATATCGACGCAGCCATCGAGATCCGCAGTGAGAAACGGAATATGAAGGTTGCGGGACGCAACGATTTGTCCTGTTTTAGCATCGAGCTTGTACACATTGTTCTGGGTGGTGGCAAAGTACACAAATTGCTTGTCACCACCGCTCGGGGTATAGACAAGAGGCTGCGAGAAGATTTGCTCCGGTTGATTAACCCACACACCAGGCAGTTTTGT